GAAATTAATTTGCCGCTGCCTTTTTAATTTCCTAAAAACTGTTCTGCAATTCAGCACGTACTGCGACAGCTAGGGGGAGGGCATTCGGGTGGGCAATCGAATCGAAAAAATGAATTTAGTTTAGTTTTAATAGTTTTTAAGTTTTATTATTTTGATTTTGATATTAATTGAATAAATTTTGATTCGTTTTTAGTTGTATTTTTTATAAATTAAAAATTGAAAATGAGCTGTTAAAAAACTAAAATTTAAATAAATATAATAAAATATAAAATAAAATATAATTTATTATTAAAAAAATTAATTAATATTTATTTAGTAAAAATCAAAATCGAATCAATTTTATTAGTAACCAAATCAATCAATTCGTAAAAACTTCGATTCAGTTTTAATTCTCACAATTGAAGAAAAAAATTTTCAGTTCGGTTATTTTAAAACTGGTTTTGCCACCCCTAGTAACGGCGGATTCTTCCCCTTTTTTTTTTCTTTTTTTTTAAGTATTTTACTGTATAAAATGTATATTAAAAGTGCAATTTATTTTATAAAATTATTAAAAATATAATTTATTTTATAAATTTATTTAAATATTTTTAAGAAAATAATATATTATTTTATATAACAAAAGTTTGATACAGAATAAAGATATAATTAATATATTTTTTATGTTTTTTTTTTTTGAACATTTTGGCAAGAGATAGTTCAAAACCCGTCCAAAAGAGGAGAGAATGCATCAGCTGACTAGCTAATGCCAGCGGGCCTCTATGGCCAAATGCATATTTTTTATGTTAATTAATATACAAACTAATAAAAATTGATATTAATTTTATTATTAATACTATATGTATTATTTTTTTTTTTTGAACAATGAGAATTTTTCTTCGGGGGATGGGGAAGGGAGGACTCGGGATTAAACCCAAGTTCAACTAGTTCTAAGCACGTCTTACCTTGCAGGAAAGCCAGTTGGCCTTCAAGTGCGGAACACTATATGTATCATTTTAATTAAATAAATAATTAAATAAATATCAAATTTTATTTTTTAATAATAATTAATATTAAAAAAATATTTTTAACCTATATAAATTAGAAAAGCCCTTAACATATGATCCACCTTATAAAACTTTAATCTCCCTTTTTTTTTGGTTAAAAAAAATTGGCATTTACCTTCCCTCGGTGTCGTCTAGGGTCTAGCTAAACCCTGTAATAAAGCTAGGAGGGGCTACCACCATTAATTGGCCATAATTTAGCTCCTATACATGTTTGATTGTCTCAAACCTTCAAAACCATGCCGGATCCAGTGAAGCATAGAAGAAGGTAGTGCTAACAGTAAAGCCCAGTTCACCAGTATTATTCATCATAAAATCAACTCGTAACTTCAAATGAACTTTCCTCAATTTTGACAGAATCCCCTCAACTAGCAGGTTCTCCACAAGCTTGGATTCCTAATGAATGAAAAATCCCGAGCAAAAGCACATAAATAATCGAGCATTAAAAAATCCAGTGGTTTAAAATCACCTTAACATATGTTTTGAAATCAAATGGTTCAAATGGTGTTCTAGGAAATAATTATCTTGCAAGTTGGTATATAACTTTTGTTTAGTTCATTAGAATTTGGTTAAACCTCAATTTGGTCTCTGAACTATCATTCAAACCCCCAATTTGGTCCTCAACTGTATATTAATTTATCTCAAATTGATCATTTCGTACAATAAAACCAACTGACATATCCATTACTTAACGAAAAAAAATAATAACTTAACAATGAAAAACAATAACTCAATAGTTAAGTGTCATGTTAATAACAAAACACGTTAATTGATTTTTATACAAAATAATTAACTTAGGATAAATTGATAAATAGTAAAAATCAAATTAAGGATCCATACAATAATTTAGGGACCAAATCAAGGATTTTTTTCGTTCAGGGACCAATTAAAGGTCCATACAATACTTCAAGGACCAAATTGAGAATTTAACCTCAAAATTAATTAAATTTGAATGCATTATGATGTGTTCTCTCCCTCCAGTTTTTGAGATATGAAAATTGAATTAGAATGTCAATGTTACAGCCATTACACAGCAGAAAATGGTGATGCGCATGCTTGAAATTGACTAGACCAGGAAAACCTGCTCCTCTCATGTGCTCCAAGGTGATGGCAAACCAACAAGGGACAGCAATCCTATCTTCTTTCTGTGTCCTTTAAGATTTCATGTATTTTGTTTCCAACATGAAGAATTGATATACATTCAGACTATGCTAGGAGGATCTCCCACCCAATTACACACAGCGCGAAGGCCAGCGTGTTCTAATGCAGTCTACCAGAGGTGCGTGCTGCGCTGATTTAGGTTTAGCCACTTCAGCGTCTTTTCCACAAGATTCACCCCCCCACAGAACTAGAGGGAACTGATAAATTGTCGGGGATCCAACTTGGAGGAACCAAAACCCTCAGTTTTGTGAGTCTAGGTCTCTGCATAGGAGTCTCCCCAGCAGATGTTGCTTGGCTGCCATTCAAATCCGATTTTGCAATCCCATTAAAATGGTAAAGGTCAAATGCTTTTCTACCCATCAGTCCAGTTGAATCCTTTAGACCTCCCAGGCCCTCTTCTAAATCCAGAATCACCTGCCAGAACTCACTCCATACAATAAAGCCTGTACTGCAAAGGTTATCAAGTTTCTCAAGTGGAAGTCTGATATTTGTTTCCTTGAGAACTTGATGGAAACCTTCCACATCAATAAAACCACCACCTCCACTCTGATCTTGTGCATCAAAAGCTTTACAGATCTGTGATTCCCTTTCTTCCAGTTCATTCTTATCTTGAACAGTTGTATCAAGAGCAAATAGAACTGTATAATGAGACTCACTACCAACGACCCATGTTGGCCATTTTGGATGTTTCAGATGCTGGCCAACCTTGCAGAAATTAAGGGATTCCAGAAGAGTGAGGAATCCAACTTCCACACTGGTAGATATGCCCTTCAGAAAGATGCCATCTCCTAAATCCATCTTTCCATCAAATACATTTGGAACAGCTTCCCCACAAAGCAAGACGTTCACAATTTCCTAAAATTATGTAAGACATAAGGCAATTACAATGCAAGCATTCAGTAAAAGAGAAAACAGAAATTATCATAAAAGTTTTTATGTACCTGAGAAGCATGTCCAAATGGGGTGGTGCCTAGTGATAGTTGGGATCATCCCTGTCATCTTGAACACAGTCCTAGACAGAATGCAGCAATATAGACATCCTTAGATCCTCATCAAATTCAATTTTGAATGGATATATGGGCAGTACCATATTTAAGAGATTAAAGAGGTAATTGGTGTTACTTAAAGAAACACTGGTGGATATATAGTGTGAAAAAATTGAAGATTTCAAGCAAACAAACATACCAATCCTCGAAAAAGTAATGCGGAAATGAGGAACAGCAATGCTCCCATCCGACTTTGGAAAACAGGAATCATTTCTTCCAGCCTCCTACAGGCATTTGCTCGTGTTGTGTATCTGTCAACTCTTAGAACCTTCTGCAAATCAGCAGCTGATTCAATTGGAAGACCTTCAAGAGCTTGTGCAATAACCTGTCAGATTGAACAACCTCTAATCACTAAACAAGAACATACCATGGATGTTTATGTACTTCAACTCAATTCAACTTTCAACCAACCACATCCTTGGGAGTGCCTTCAGATCCCTCAATGTTGTGGCCAATAGCATTCAAAGTAGCAAGCACAGCTCTTTTATTACTTCCACATAAAAATAACATCTCGCTCACACTTTTAACTAAAGCTCTGTACATGGGAACATAAAATTTACATGAAATAAATTAAAGCAAAATAAACAATGACAAACAATACTATTTTTCATAATTTTTTAAAAAAATGAATGACTTAAAAACAGACAGCAGATATAAAATATTTACTTTTCCAAATTGGATTATCTCCAAATAAAAGAAACATTGAAGGGACAGCACACACTTCAAATAATAAACGTTACAGTACAACATAGTCTTTGAGACTGAACACCACCATATGATCATTTCTTTTTTTTTATTTGTTGCAATTTCAACTTTGATGTTCAGTTCATAGAACCAATGGCTAAACTGGACTTCAGAGAATTAAGGTCACAGCAGGAAACACCAAACAAGCAAGCTTTAATTGGACGAGGATTGATTAAGACCAAAATAAGCTAAAAAACCTTGAATATATCAACAATAATTCAAGAGTTGTACATGTTTGTCCAGTTTAGGATACAATCCAAATTTTATCAATGCAAAGTCAAAATCACCTTGCTTTTACATCTTCAGTAAGAGCACCAAAATTTTCTGACGCAACATATTGATTTTGAGAAAATCTCCCAACACCCAAATTCTGAAGCATTTCTGGTGCAGTTTTACCTAATTCATCCGGAAAGAAAAGAGGATATTTGAGAACAAATGCCTGCAAAAACAGACAGAACTTACATTCAATTAAACATCAGAAAAAGCAAAAATCAACATTTAAGGTAAACAAGAAGATCTCGAATATTCTTGAATTTCTAACCACCAAAATCAAAGATAATTATCTCAACGAATTCACCATATGCGGAAGTCAACCGGACAAAACAAGAGAATTTGGCTTACAAAAAATTAGCATTCTAAAGTTTTCAATTTTTTTTTTTTAAAACATGGCTATCCTTTTCAGGCTTCAATATAGTCCAATGGCTTTAGACTTTTAGAAGCTTCAACAAATTCAGTAATCAATTAGAATGAATAAAATTAATATTTAATTTTAATTTGAACAGTTTAGCTTTATTTGTTATACAAATTTGACAATACAAGTATCCCATTAGTAAACCTAGCAAGCATATAAATAAGCCATCCACCAGTGTGCTTACATTTTTAAGACATTCCAGCAAGTATTGAAATGTCAGTGAAGAATATTAGTTCATTTACATAGGACAGAACAAAGTGGCAAATTACAGCAGCACAGGTTTTACAAAAGTACGTAACTGATTATCAAACCATTCACAACATTAGGATCTTCAGATGGCTAATATAATTAAATAAAAGTCTAACAACTGCATACTAAAAAAAAATCAGATACACCAAGAAATTAGGGAGATTACTTGTATGGTTGCTAATACGCCACAGGGGCCACCCTCATGCTGCACTAGGCCCATAGATGTTTCTGGATCGTCAAGAAGGGGTTGTTGAGTTGGTGTTATGTGAGATTGGCTTTGAGATTCACTAAGAGTAGGAGCATGTTGAGCTGGTTCAGGGTTTTGCTGTGAAGCTGGGGGTTGTGGAGCAGGGTTAAGTAAATTGATGAGGGAATCACCAGGGTTGTTTCGAGCTAAGAGCTGAGCCAATACTAGCTGAAAGACGCCAAACTATTGTTGTATTGTAGCAAGTTGAGCTGCAACTACGTCTTGGTTGGTAGTGAAAACTGAGTTGTGAGCTGAGTTATGAGGTTGGTTTTCATCTCCTCCTTTTGCATGATCAATAGGAGGGAATATATTTAGGATCGAAGGTGGGAGGTGAGGTGGAAGATTGCTGAGGACCTGACCTCGTCCAAGAGGTTGAGATGAGTTTCCAGCTCGGACTGGTCGAGTATTAACCATGATGAGAGCAACAAGAGAGCTTTCAGTTCGGATTCTCACAGACGACGCTAAATGTAATTGCATCAAACCAGAAGTCCTTCTTCAGTCCGCGTCCACACTCCGGATTGATCTGCAAAGTCCCGAGGTTGAACTCAGAGTAGACACTCCGATGCTTAAGTCAGCAATAATCGGGGCTACTTCTAGAGTGGAGATAAAAGGAGCTTATGGTCGGTTTCAATTACCTTTTTGAGATGGTCCCTGGGGGGTATTTATAGGTCTTTGTGAGGTATCCACGTAGCTTGCTTAGCAGGATCATCGGAGTGTGACGTGTCTCTCCAGACAGTTATTTCGGGACCGGGAAATTGAAAGATGTTCAGATGTGAGCATGTCTACCGTAACTGCTGTGCAACTTGTCATAAGGAATCAAGTGCAGGCATGCTTATTGTTGCTGTCATGCAGCTGTTTGAGCGGGAAGTGTTGGGTTTATCCTTCACTTCGGTTATAAAGGAATTACTGCCGTATGTCCGAGGTTGGGCACCTCGGATCTATCCTTACAATATTAAGTTTGAATGTTGTGAATAGAAAAATAGTTGTTAGGTGAACTTTCCCTCATATGAGGTCTGATCTGATTCGATTCCAGATTAATCAGATTCAATAAAGTTTTTGGATACCAAAAAGTTAATAAAAAAAATAATGGTATTAATTTTATTTATTTATATTTTTTTAAATAATTAAACAATTAAGCCATTTTAGTGCCAACCGGGCCTGTGGCCCAATTGGTTGGCCCCCAAGCTTTAGGGCTTGGGTGAGGCGGAGGTCA